CTTTGAAGCTCCTAGACCTGCCTTCGACTCTAACCACAATGGATGGGCTTCTACATCAGGACATTGTGCTGTGACCACCATGTTTGATGAATATCTGTATGCCCAGGCAAGTTTCCCTCGAGTAAACTTTAGCTTCTTACAACAGAACCCCCTTCCCCCTTTTTTTTTCCTTTTGTATTTTCTGGTATTCAAACCCAGGAAACAGACTCTCTGCTTTTAGGGGTAACGCTGCACACATCTATACCTCCCCAGACCCCACCTGGTGGAGCCTTCTGCATGGGGCCACTCTTTTTATTTTCTGGTTTTCCTGTTGCATGACTTACTTGTGAGCGGTTGGCCAACTGCAAATGAGTTGATCACCAGAACTGGATAGAAATTGTAATAATATCCACCATGGAAAGTGATTTATTTTATCTATCTTTTTTAGCCGGCAACCTTCATTTTTTTCAGTTAACTTCATATCAAAATATGGCGCAGCTGGTTTAGCTAATCTGATCGGGCACAATTACTTACCCCTTTTAGCTAGTATTAACTTCATGGATCAGCCTGAATAATGATTTTCTATAAATCATACCTTTTTTACTACAAAATCATGTCTTAGGCTTAGTGGCCATAAAAAAAGGGCAATGTCTTGTGTTGTTTGGTGGGGGGAAACGGGGAGGAAAGGAAACAAAGGAAGGGTTTTATATTCTTCCATTCAGTATGCCTAAATAGAAGAGAACAGGACAAGGAAGGAAAGTTTTTGTGCAGTCCCCACTTATATGACTTCCGTCTCTTGGTGGAGGGAAGAAAGAGTGTGGATCCTCTAAAGGTGACCAGCTATAAATTTCCCCGAAATTTGCTTCTTTGGAATATTTTCTACTTTTTCATTTTGTTAAAAAAATATATAAATTTTCTCTATCTTTCTGATAGAAGCAAACTTCATCAAATTAATGGATCCCCGAGTTCATAGCATCCATATTGTGAAAAATAGAGAAACAATTTCATTATGTTAGTGGCTTCAACAATATTATGGGTCTGACAATTTGTTTATCTTCTGTATTGGCAATGTTTTGATGCATGTCCAACAATCGTATAGGATACATGTCATATTTATAAATAATTTTATTGTACGTATAATAAAATTATAAATGAATGAATGAATGCAATGCATATCTTGTTTTATTGTAAATATATTAAACAATTATAGGATAATAAAACAATTTGACATCCCATGTTTTGCCTTTCTATTCTTCATGAATATTATCTCTTACCTTCCCTTCTATTCTATCATACCAAATAATGCATTAGATTTTACAGCTTTACAAGAATACAAACATTTCGTAGAAAATCTAAGGTTCCAAGAAGAGTTTTTATTGGATTGGAGAATCAGTCAGTTGGCTCAAACTTCCAGGGTTTTGTAATAACAGTGTCTAGTCCGTATGTAATTTCCTTTAACCTTGTCTGATACGTAAAACTTTCTAATTCTTGTAGTTTTATCTGTGTTCTAGGTACCACAGCGACACTGATTCACTACTTTTGCTCTGCATCTACCAATGACGCTGACAGAGAACTTCAGTCTGGCTTCATCAGATCTCAACAATATGCAATAATAGGCTATCTGGATTTTGCTTCCACCTTGTTTTCTGCTGTGAAGGTTGTTATGAACGCAGAAAGCATATTGCGTTTCTTCTTCCGCACGTGGATGGTGAGAGTTGTTTATAGCATCACAGTATAGCGAAGTAACTGATTCAGAATAATGTGGATTTCATTTTTGTTGGTATCTGTATGGGCTTCTTGTAAATAAAGAGTGTCCAAGTTTGTTCCTCCTCACATGGACCATCCTTGTATATTGAAAAAACATGATTGGATCACTCAAAAAGAAAGGAAAAAAAAAACATGATTGCAATTTCAGACAAAGATAACATAGGAGAGACTACGATGCAGAATGCCTCTTAAATTGATAAATAACGAGAAAACATGATACAGAATGCCCTGGCTTATAAGTATGCATAGGGGCATTGTTGAAAATTATATCTGATGCCTTTATATTTCTAATTTTTGTCTTTCTTTTTGGAGTAGGAGTACAGTGGTAGCTCTTTTTCCTGTGACATTAATTCCCCAGTAATTATACATTATCGGTCTCTCAAAAAATTAATTTACAATTAAATACAAGAAATAATGATGAGCCTTAAGCAATAGCATACTGTGGGGTGAGCCAGCATGCCTAATTCACCATAAACTGTGCAATTTACGTGGTGTTTTAAACAACTGTTGGACCCTTCAGTCCCAACGGAAAAATAAAAAAAACTACTATTGGACCCTGTCAGCCTGTCACTCAGAATTCAATGAGCGCACTCAATTAAAATGACAAAATGGGATCAACGAGAATTAAGTTCAGTAGAAGGGACTAATTTTTACAATTTAGCGAATCAAGGTTCAATTTTAAATTTTTACTAGAAGAAATACTCATATTTAGTGTCTGATAATATCTTAAATAGAATTTTTTCCAGGATATCTATTGTATGCTCAGTGAAATAAAATGACAAGATGGGACAAAATGCAGCCAATAAGCAGATATTCCAGACAAAAATAAATCTTTAGAATCAGAAGTAGGTGGAGGAGGTTGAACTTTTAACTGTTATTCAACGATTGATCTCTAGTTAGGTGAAAGAATAAAGAGAGTCCCTTGAAACAGTTGGGCTTCATCAGAATTCTGAGGGCTTTGCTGTTTTTACAGTCATATATTCCTTGCGCTTGCAGTGATTTGATATTCTTTTTAACAAGATAAGTGTGAATTTTATGAGAAGTAAATAAGGAGACAACCTTAGAACTTCTATACGAGGTAAATGGAGTGAATTATAATTAAAACTTGTCGACAGAAGAGAGGACACAGAAACAATGTGGTAAATTATTGCATCTTTTCATTGCAGAAGCAGGAAAATTGACACTAAAATATCTCTAATACAATCAAAGACTCACTCGGCCAAAGCTAAAATATAGCACCAAACAATTGCTTCTTACCTCCCCCCCCCCCCTCTCCCAAAAAAACCCAAAAGAAAAAAAACCTAACCAAAAAGTAAAAATGTAAAGTAAGAAACTACTACAATACTAATGGCGGGTAGTATAAAGATTCCACCACTTCCACTTTACTCACTATTTCTTTTACCTTTTTACCCCCATAACCTAAAAAATCCCTCGCTTCACAACTTCCAATAAGAATGGGTGGAAGGCACCCACAATTAGGTACCCCCACCATGACACGATGATGACGATGAAGAGCCCCTTTAAAATAAGCCCTTCTCATGGTAGCATACTATTTTAATACCCTAGTATACTAAGTCATACTAACACTTGAACAGGAATATGTAATATATGTGATATATATATATATATATGTAATGTCTAGCGGAATTGGGCGCCAGTGTAGGTTTGGCCAAAGGACCAGTTGGGAGGGGCAACATTGTAGGACACCACAAAGCGGCCATCACTGGTGGTGACCTTGAAGGAGAGGGCTTGGCCATTGAGATAGTTGTTGCTTTGCCAGTTCTGGCCCCAGTTTCTTGACATTGGCATCCACCTAGTTCTTGACCCTTTGATGGCCACACTGTGCACATCACCAGCGCCACCAACGTTTGTGATGAGGACCAGGTTGAAATAGGAGTGGCCATTGATTGTAAACCTTATGCCTCCCCTTCTTCTGCAGGGTACCCTGCACAAACCAACCCATTGAAAAATATACAGTAAGTTATCAAAAGGGTCAAGTACAATTTCTAACCACTTGGTTCAAGTAATAAATTTCAGAGACTTTAACAGACAAAAGAGAGTTAATTGTAGAGTTTGTCTCGCTTAGTAGTTGGACAAAGAAATGAAACACCCTAGTTCAACTTGACAAAGAGACTTGGGGCCCAGCCAACGTGATAATATTTGAATTGTCAAATTGCAATTGTAGGAATCGTATTGCCATTTATAGATGAAGATGATTATCAAGTTCGTTGGGCGAACGTTTTCCTTAAGTTTTCTGGTTTAACATTCTTGACTGAAGAAGCAGACAGTGAACGCTAAAAGAAACTTAGCATCTTGTAAGGTAAGGGATCTAAATTTGAAGAGAAAAGGCAATTTACCTTCTGTAAGCCACAGGAACTATGCCGGCTCTGTATTGAGCAATGCGGAGGAAGACAGGCTGAGCGAGATCAAAATGTTGGAGAGGAGGGTTACACCAGCCTCCTGCATTATTGGGCAAGGCATTGTTTGGTGGGCAGAAATTGGTAGCTGTGACCACTGTGGAACCTGGCAGGCACCATCTTCTGTCATTCACACACCTGATCTCATAGCATGACCCACAGCTCAGCCCATTGTTGAACAGAGCCGTGCTCAGAGCAGCTGTGTTCGTTCCATACCCTTGGCTGTATAGATTCCCATACCCACAAGCCCCACCTGCACCATTCATCATCATCCCCATCAAGGTTAGCCAAATGGGTTTGCTCCAACATACTTCAAATAAACTCTCACATTTTGAGGTAAATGGATGCTTTTATGTAAATAGTGCGTTTGGGACAAAAGTCAAACACATATCAGACACTAATAGATGCATAAATTGCATACCCATTGTGCCTGATGCATCACCACCTCCATAGAAGGTGGCATGAGCATTAATCCACCCTCCACCATAGCCATGAGCCGAGGAGAGCATGGAGAGAAAACCCATCAAGAGCAACCCAATGACAGCCATTTTTTTTCCTGAACATACACAAAGAAAGAATCATTAGTCTGAGACTTTCTTCTTAAACATAAGCAAACTCTAATCTGCTAAAAATGTGATCTGTGGACTTCAAAAGATGATGCGGAAAGGGAATTACTTTGTTGTTGATGCGTCAGAGGAGGAAGTTTTAGCTAGAAGGAGGGAAATGAGAGAGAGATGAGTGTGGGGGAATGAAGGTGGGTGCGACCGAATTTATAGACGGAAGGGATAGCCCACAGTTACTTCAACAATAACTAACGCTTTTAATAACTGTTGGGACCAAATACCCTTATGGGGTGTTAAGTTGTAAGGCTACCAACTGTTCATTAAAAGTGAAAATTGGAAGAAGAGCCCTATCTTAAGGTTCAAAATGTGTTCTTGGGGCGAGAAAGCGCGTGGTTTTTGTAGCTTTCAAAAGGAAAATCTGCAAAATCTAAGTGGGGCAACCCTGTTTTTCACTCCTGATGGTAAACACCATAATAACAAACTGCCAAGACCACATGCAAATATGCACCATCGCCTAATTTCTTCTCCCCTCTTTTTTCCAGCTTCATACGCTTTTTCTTTTCTGTCGTTTCTTCTTCTTCTTCTTCTTCTCTTTTTTGCCGCTGAGAATTTGGGATCATTCAATATTGTTATGTTGATATTATGTACTCATTGTGTTAAATAGATTAACAAATTAGTGTCATTAGACACCAACATTTATTTTTACTTATTTATCTTCTCAACTGGTCACTCTCTCTTCTTCTTCTTCTTCTTTTTTCTTGGGTTAAATCTACAACCAACTCTTCTTAAAATTAATTTTAGATTTAAAGTTCACTTCTTTTGATTTGATTTGAAATAAGTACATAAGGACATCAGTAGAAGGAGCCAGGTTTTCTTGATCAGTAACAGATTTTTTATGTTCTACTGTTATTTTTTAGAAAAAAATTAAATTAATTAGATGTTAATTTGAGTTGTGTAAATTTTATTCTATTGTGGACTTCAATATTATTGTCATTTTAATAGATTTATCAAGAAATAATAAAATAGAAAAATTATACTCCTCCGGTCCTTAATATAGGACCCAATTCTTGAGTTGGTTTTGGTCCTAAATATAAGACTTATTTATCATATTTATCAATTTTTTCTAAATTACCCTTATGGACACTCCTTTAACCATAATCAAATAAAAGAGAAATAGGAGGTGTTAAGAAAGATGATTATGGTATTTTAGGAAAAACATGTCACATTTCTTATAATTAACTAACTTACCAAACTTTCTTAATCTAATCAAATTTGTTAAATAGGTCTTATATTAAGGACCGGAAGAGTATTAATTACGGATAAACATTTAAATTTATCATCAATGGGTCAGTAAAAAACTACTACCTTTTGTCCTTAGTACAAGAGTTTGTTTAACTTTTATTTTAATACTAAATATAAGATTTTAATCCTCTTTGTCTCTTATATTTATCTATTTTTTCTCAAGGTAGTCCTTATAATAATGGTAAATCTAGCCATTACACTTGATTAATAAAGATATTTCAGGAAAGACAACTCCTATTTATTATAAATAACTAACTTAATTATTTTTTGATCTATTTAAATTAGTTATCTACTTCTTATATTAAAGATCAGGAGTCGCATGTACCCAAAGATTCAATATGTCTATTCATTCTTTTTAATTTTTTTAAATTAATTATATTCTCTTTGACGCTTTTCATTAAATTCCTGCATCGATTTAACAGCATCAATTTCGTTTAAATTTAACAGCTTTTATTTTGTAGTTGTTCTGTTTTTTTTTTTTTGGTCTGTAGTTTTGTGTTGTAGGTCTTTGAGTTTGTAACTTTTTTGTTTTCGGTGTGACTTTTCTCAGAGTCTTTTGTTTTCTGGAGTTTGCATTTTTTTCCTTTTTCAATACAAATTTTCTTTGGCAAAAAAGAATATCATTATGAATGTCAATTATGAAATATGATTCCATTTATTTTTTATGAGGGATTTATATCACGAAATATGAGTACTTATGTGGTGAGGTTCTGGGAGCTTTCCCTTGCCCATCATTTATATTTAGCTATTTTAATTTATTTGCAGCCTTAATTCCTCCTCAGTTTCCAATCTCCATAATATTCTGTCCCTCTTCTCAACAAGCACTAATCATATAAACCTAAGTTACAAATAAAATCCAACATATTAACTTCTTACTTATAAGAGAAACTTACACGGAGACAATTTACTAATTTTAGGATTAATATCATTGTTAATTCTTAGAGTTTAATTATTGAAAGCATCTGTATTATTTATTAAACTTATATCAAATTCTTATAAAACTATAAAGATTAAAACCATCAACAATATCAACCTATGAGAATTAACAATGATAACATTAACCTCTTTTTTTTCACATGGACTTGGATACAAATATCTGAAGTATGGGGGGATAAAAGACAGATAGGGTCAAATAAGGGTGGGGATCCTTCTTGTTCAAAAAAAAAAAAAATTGAAGTGTTGGAGGACAAGTGAAACATCACAAGTACTGTGAGTGTATGACTGTGGATGACATTCATTATTACCAAAGTACATTGGAATGGGACCTTCAACCTCCAGGCCTTCACATGGCTGATGCCAGATTTCCTCCTCCCTTGCACTCATTTCCATGAACCTTCCTATTTCTTTTCATTTCATTCGTTTCCTTCTCAAAACTTGTGATAAAAGACTCATCTCTCTTTAGAGATTAGTAGCTTGTTTATATATATATATGTGCCATATAAGCACTTTCACATGAACAGAAACAAAATTTTTCTTATATGCTTATCTCATATTGAGTAGATTACGATTGAAAAATTGTTTCTGAAGACTCCGATCTTCATTTCAAATAAGTCCTAATTTTGTTTCATTTGTTAAAAGTGTTGAAAAATCAAACTTCCAATAATTTATTTATGAGAAATGAGAACCCCTACTAAACATGATCATGTTAAGATGATGAGCTAGAAAAACATGTATACATATAGTTTGTTTAGGTTTAGCTAAATGAATGGAATAAAAATTTTAATTTGAAGAGGAAAATGGTGAGGACATGAAGGAACCCCACCAAGAGGAAGAGGCCATGTGTGGGAGCATTAATTGAGTTTCTGTCTTGGAAGCGCAATATCTTTCACCCCAGCTGGAACAACTTGATTTCCTGTCTACCTTATCCTCTTAATTAAAGTCTCACTATTAATTAAGTTTAAATAAATCCATAAATCCTTTTTTATGGATGCCATCGTCCTGCAAAACGATAAGTATCTTTTTTATAAACCGCGATTCTCGCCATTAGTGTTTTTCAATCATCATTTTAGTTATTATATATGACTTGGGGACTCGTGAACTGCTAAATTCATCCCCTTTTTTTTTCACATCTCTTGTTATACATTTAAGGGATATCTAGAAAGCATGAATACGTTGCAAATTTTTTGCATAGGAAGTCCTTAATTAACACTAGAATTTTTTAAGGGGGACTTTTCACTAATTTTTTTAATATTTTATATGCCCGTTTTATCAATAAGAATTGACATATAATAAATCTAATTCCATTTAACTCATTGTTTTGTTGAGGCTTTGTAGGCAACTAATATCAAATATTCCTCCTGTTCTAAATATAAAACTCTTTTTGAAGTGTAATTTACACTACAAAAAAGATTTTATATTTAGGACCGAAAAGTATCTTCTTGAAAGCTTTTTTCCCCCTAAGTATGAGGTCTCCCTCGAAAGTATGATAAGTGCGTGAATTATGATAAAAAAAAAAAAGATTATTGTATCGTTCTTAAGTTGGATCACTTCAATATAATTGAGCAGAAATAATTTAAATTAGTTTTTACTTTTTTTTAGTTGAGTGTTTAAAATTTTATCTATTTTTCATTAAAAAAATTGAAGGCAATTAAAATTAATGAGTTTGGAATCTAAAAGTTAAGAAATAAATAAGCCAATTAATTTAATACATGATGCTTTTTCGTAAGTATCCCTCGAATGATATCAGGATAGGGCACTAAACCAGAAAGAATCTGAGATCTTTTATTTCTCATATTTCAAACAACATCAAGAATAAATAATATGTTTTTAAAAAATGATAATAAATTCATATACAAGCTTTGATAAGAAGATCGAGGTCGAAGCAATATTTTTTTAAAAAAAATTATTATTACTATTATTCTGTGTCATTTTGGTCTTGAATTGAAAGCGATTTGAGAGAGTCCTTTAGCGGCGCTAAGGCAGCAATTGCACATGGAGCAAGTTCGTCTGTTTGCTTTGAGTTGATGTTTATTGTTCAAAATCAAGTTGGATTCTAATTCTCTGTATTAATTGTCCTCTTGAATTTTTCTCATGCAGACAGATTTTCACAAGTTGAGCCACTGTAGTAGCCGAATTATCGAAATTTTAAATAGTAAAATAAGAATTTTATTTGACTTATATGAATATATTATTTTACTCTTCATTTTTTTTGCCAGCTATTTTACTATTTATTTATTATTATTTAGATTGTTATTTTCTTGAAAAGGATATATATATAAAATAAAGGTAAAATTGTAAAGTTTTAAATTTTAAGATAGGGTTAATGAAATTTAATATTTTTTTACGTATAAAACATGTTGAAAATGACTTCTAGATAAGACTAAATAAGTAAATTATTCAGTAAAATCCTAAATGTAAGAGTTAACTGGAAAATTCATTTTAATTATAAATGTAACACCTTGATTTTCATTGTCTTCATATTTATATTTTTTCCCCAAACAACCCATTTGTTACTTACACATATTTAAAAGTAATTTTTAATATAAATAATTAAAAGTAATGATATTTTTAAGAAACTAATTCATTTTTTTGTGAAAAATTAATTTTAACTAATTTTTTAATATGTATGTGCGTAAATTAGTTATGGAGTTCTTAAATTTTGATCGAGTAGTGTACTATTAGTTTCCCAAAAACTTATAATAATTATATTATATGTCAACCACTCTCACATTTTGGGCTAAACCAAATCCTATTATATTTGATAAAAATGTACATTTAATCTTCTGATTTTATATAAAATTTCAATTTTGGTTTTTTTTTAAATTTTAAGAAGTATTTTTTTTAAAATATTCTAACCCCTTATACCATCAATCTCAAGTAATTATTCTTTAACAATTTTTTAAATTAATCTTAATTGTTAGTATTTTAGAGCTCTAGTTAACATTTAAAATTTTAATACCAACAT